TGCTCCTGCCGCTGCTGCTGCTACTACTACTACTACTACTACTACTACTGCTGTTACCGGTACACTGACACTACTATCACTGTACAATTTCTACACATTTCTACTACTACTCCTATTAATCTACTATTGCACTACTACGACGACGACTACTACTACTCCTTCTGCTGTTGCTGCTGCTACTACAACTACTACTGCGACTACTATTACTACTACTACTACTACCACGACTACTACGACTACCACTACTACCACGACTACCACTACTACTGCTACTACTACTACTACTACTACTACTAGTACTATTACTGCTACTAGTACTACGCCTACTGCTACTGCTACTGCTACTGCTACTGCGACTGCTACACCTCTGCTACTGCTAATGCTACTACTACTACTACTACTACTACTACTACTACTACTGCGACTACTGCGACTACTATTACTACTACTACCACGACTACTACGACTACCACTACTACGACTACCACTACTACTGCTACTACTACTACTACTACTACTACTACTGCTACTAGTACAAGCATCTCGGCTGGCTAGTGCCGAGGCGGCGCACCCCCCAGTGTAGGTCGTGCTCTCGTACATGACATGAATTTCCGACATACTGCACTGGGGCTGCTGAACACTGTGATATGTCACAGTCTGCTGATTGCGACGACTCATACAACCTTTGGGTCTGGAACGCCAATAAGATGCCTCTATCCGCAGAAGCTGAGTACGCCAGGGAACTGTTTGCTTGCCGCCAGCGGAGCCACTTGTTCTACAGCTACATGTGTCAATCAATGCTCCGGCGGGCTAACGGATGGCTGGCGGACCCTGCATGGTTCAATGACTTCGATTTACGATGGCAACACAGCCATACAGGAATTGCCCTGCAAGCAGCCAGGGCCTCCCAATACCCTCCGGACGAGCAGGACCTTTGGCTGTGGACAAGACTGCATTTTCCGGTATTATTGGTTCATTTCTGGCCACATGGGCGACCACAGCCAGTGGACTTCACAGTATGGACTGAACAAGGCCATCCTCGGACCTCACCGCCTCCCTTCCATAACCTGACATGTCCAGGTCGACGACAACGCCGATGGAGACTTCGGGCGCAACAAAGCAAGAGGCTGCGCAGGAGACGCGCTCGCAATAAGCCTCTGCACTTGCTGAGCCCTTACAGGAAAAGCCTGGAGACGGTTCTTTGCCTACCACCTCTTCTCGTCAAGTGCTCCGAACATGTTCTCTTTTGGCTCGGCATGTTGTTTCGATCAGTCAGTTGTACAAGTGGTGCCATTCAGCCCTTGTCTGCGCACTTCACGGCTCAAGCGACTGGCTCGGCCTCAAGCTGCCCCGGCCGCCGAACAGGAGACCCGAGCAGACCATCCAGACCAATGGAGGCCACCCCTGCCGAGGACACCCAAAGCGCGGAGGAGCACGAGGCGCTGGACATGGCCTCGGAGGGCTCCACGGCCCCTGAGGACGGGGGGCCGAGAATGGGGCCACCACCACCATTGCCCATCACTGCGCTTCAAGGCTGGTCTCATTTGGTTTCGCGGGCTGTGGCGAACGCCTTAGCGGGCCAAGGGTTCGACGGAAGGATCCTGACACATGTGCCATGGGACATCCAGAGCCTCACGGACCTCACCGTCCGCGTGACATACATGACGGCCCAGGACAGGCTGCACCCAAATCTTTTGGACTGCAGAGCGGACCCGCCCTCTAGAGACATCGCTGCAATCATGAACCGCGAGGGTCGCACAGTCATGACGGAAGCGGAGCTGGACGAGCTCATCGGCGAGGAGTCCCTGGACATGGCGGCTGCAGCTGCAGCTTCGGACGGCGAAGCAGAGACGGCTGAGCGGGGAGAAGGGGTCACAGAAGCCACGGATGACGCGACGGCAGCACCTTCCTCCAGGACATCGGACAGCCCGACCAGGCGAACTACAGCTACGGCCAAGCCAAGAGCCACCCCGGCGCGCAAGCCCAGCCCTCAACTTTGTCGGTCACGACTCTGCCAGTTCTCTCTGATGTGTTGGCAACAGTTCTCTTGTGACTCTTGTGACACCAGCTCAGGCGAAAGAATGCTGATCGAGCCTAGTCGGAATAGGCTGCTTAGGCTAAACCCTGGGGATAGACTTCCCACGCCCCAGAGCTGTGCTCCGAGTGGCATTGTCATCGCCACGATTTTGCTTTGGATGCAAGCACAACCACAGCCGCGGCCAGAACAAAAAGGAGCTTACTTTGCCCTGGCGGTCCAGCTTTGCAACATCATCATGATTGCTTACCTGTTTTACATCCCCATTTCACTGCCTATTTCATGGCGAGCCAGGTACAGAACCACGACCTCACATACTTCACGGCCGGTGGCTATGCTCGCAAACATCTTTCAATCAGTCATCGCAAGAGCGTCCTTGACACGCAGGTCACGGCTTCCTCGACCTCGAGATTGCAGAGCACAGACCTCAGCACTCAAAGCTGTGCCTCTTCAAGATATATATCTTCAGCAGTACAACCGCACAGGCCGCTTCGCCAACACTACATCAATCAGCCGGGCCGGTCCCAAGTCCGGCCGCATCCCTGGAAGGCTCGCTCAGAGATTGTTTTTCATTATGATCGTAACAGCTCTACATCAGACAGCGCAAGCCGGGGATGCAGATGCGAGGGTGGGGGCTGCTTCCATCACAGCTCACGAAGTCATTCCGGCGATGGCGCCGGGGGCGAAGCCGAATGGAACGCGGAAGGCCAGCGAGCCTAACCCACTAGTCGAAGTGTTAAAAGATCATACCGCAGAGCTTACACACGCTCCTGCCATCAAGGCGGGGCTACTACAGGGGTCAGTGGAGAGACCACAGCTGGTTCACCGGAGTGCAGCTGCGACCCCAATACCTCAAGCCCTACCCTCAATCTCAGGGCAAAGGCACGGTCCACTGGCGAGCATTGAGCTGGAACTCAGGAGGTCTCACGACCTCGGTGTACCAAGAGCTGCTCACATACGCGTCCGATGCCAAGCTGGACATCCTGCTAGTACAAGAGACGCGCTGGAAATTCGAGGGAACGTGGTCTACTCGCGAATTCCACTGCCTACACTCGCCAGGCCTCGTATCTTGCGACAAGATGGCAGGGACCCTGATTTTGATCTCCACTCGACTTGCAAAGGCAGAGCAAATCTACTACCGAGCTCACCATCCAGGTCGACTGCTCCACGCTCGGATACCCCATGGACACACACATGTCGACATTGTGAGCGTCTATCAGTATGCAGTCAACGCCCATGAAGCCACACCCGAACGAAGGCAACGATTCTTGGTCAAACTGCAAAGCTGTCTCGCCCACCTACCTCGACGAAATGCCCTCGTTCTTGGAGGCGACTTTAACTGCCCATGTTTGCCCCATAAACATGTTTGCGGGCAGGTAGTCACTCCACACAACGACCTGCACTACCTCGACAGCCAGGATCACCAAAATGTGTGGAGAACACTCCACCTTACGGCACTGAATACATGGCAACAACCCGTGCATGGTCAGGTCGCCACCTTCGTCATGGGCGAGCACGAGGGGGCCCCGAGCTCACAGATAGACTTCGTCTTCGTCCGAGCACAGCACGCCACCTCACGTTCGAAACAGGCCAGCGCTCTCGTGGACTACCCGGTCGCTTCGTGGCGAGGTGGCCCTCGGCATTACCCAATTCAAGCAGAAATACCTGTTCCCAGGCCCAAATGGAACACATCAGCCCAGGCCCCGGTGACGACACACGTGGATAGGGAGCAGATGATCCAAGACCTCAGGTCCACCACTACGACGATGGCCATGCACAATTATCGACAAGATGTCCAGGCTCGACTCCCGGCACCTCTGGATGACCCGCAGGCAAATAGCCAATCAGAAGAACTTGCCAATTGTGCGAGAACTATGTGGGGACTGTTCAGGAAAATGCGAGCGCATCGCTACGGCATGCCGGGCATCATCAACGCCTGGCGGCAGTGGACTGAGTTTAGCAGGGCTCACAGAGTGCACAAAGCACGTTCAAAGCAACGGTCAAAGCAGAGGAAGCAGGATCTTCTACAACAAGCCCAAACTGCAGCAGCGCAGGGGAACATGCACGAGATGTGGAAACTCATTCGTCAGCTCGCCCCGAAGGCGCCCAAAAAGCGTCTACAGCTCCACAGGGAGGGACACATGCTTTCCCCGGAGGCCGAATTGGAATGGATTCTCACAGCATATGGGGAGAGATATGCCACCGACCCTGACAAGGCACCGATCACTTTCGAGTTTCCGGCCCATTCAGGAGTCTTCCTTGACTCGCAGGAACTGAAGTGGCACTTAGAACATCTCAATCCTCGCAAGGCAGTCCCGAAGGGCACTGCGCCGGCCATTGCTTGGCGAGCCTGCTCAGATTTAGTGGCTGATCCTGTCGTGCAGGTGTTCAACAAATGGCGAGGCACGGAGGAGCTCGTTCTCCGGAGATGGGCAGATGCTGACGTCGCGCTGCTGCCGAAAGCACACGGTCGGTCGAACGGGCCACTCGATTGGAGACCGATAGGAGTGCAAGACCCGCTAGGCAAATGCCTCATGAGCACGATCGTCAAACAGGCCAAGCAGGCCATCCATGACCTCATCATCAAGTACCCTCAGTGCGCCTATGTTAAGCATCGCTCAACAAGTACAGCACTACGTCAGGTATATGCTCACTGCCACGACATCCGCGAACACTGTTCCAAGGCCCGCCTCAACATACATCAGCTGTACGAAGGAGAGACACAAGTTAAGTGTCACGGCGGACTTCAAATCAGTCTCGACTTGTCGGCGGCTTTCGACCTCGTGGAATGGAGCCACCTCAAACAGGCCCTAGACCTTGCCCAAGTTGACATCGCCATCCAAGAAATCATGCTTACCTGGTTAACTCAGGTCCGGTACCTTTTCAGACATCGCCACCTACAGGGATCAATTAAGCCCCGACGAGGCCTTCGGCAAGGGTGCACCGCTTCACCCATTTTGTGGGCCGTCTTCACATCTTTACTGTGTGTCAGCATTGAGGCCAGAACCACCCCCGAATGGACCAGACAACATCTTTGTCTGCACGCAGACGACTCACATCTCCGATTTCGCTTTGACTCTTATGAAGCCTTCGAAGCGGTCATGGGAGAAGTCCGCATCGTCTTTGCCTGCTTCAGGTTGTTCCACCTCAAGATCAACATGGAAAAGACCAAGGCCATCCTCAAGATGGTGGGAACCCTAAAAGATCGAGTCAAGAAGGAATATGTCCGAAAGCATCCTACCACTAAAAGGCTGCTCCTCAGCCCACGTGAGCCTGAACAATGGCTCTCTCTGGTTCCGCACACAGAATACCTCGGGCTGGTGATCTCCTACGATCAGTTTGAGCTACAATCCTTGCGGCATCGTCTTACTAAGGCTCATAACCGCAGATGGGCGCTGGCGTCAGTTCTTCATTCCCGCAGGCTGAGCATCAAGTATAAGCTTGACATATGGCGCAGCTGCGTCTACTCTTCTATGACCTACGGGCTCGCACACTGTGGGCTCACAGGCGACCAAACGGAGGAACTCCAGCGTGCCATCATGAAGCACACCAGGGCGGTGATCTCCAACCAGGCCTTTCTCACGGGTGACACACATGAGTCCATCCTCTCTCGTTACAAAATTCCGAGAATTGCGGAGGACTTCCACAAAGAACTTCAGCGTGCTGAACAAACGCAGGCGCATTCCCCAGACTGGATGTTCTGCCCAGAATGGCATCAACATCTTGACACCAGGCTCCTACAGCGACACACTATGCCGGACTCTGATGATGAGTGCGCGCAGCCGCAAGTCTGGGCATGTCCTTGCTGTGAGCGTATGTTCCCCACGCAGGCTGCGCTCAAGATACATGCTAGACGAACGCACCAAATTGCTGATACACAACCCATCATTTTCAGCAGGGCGGAGCACGCTACAGGGGGGCTACCTACTTGTCGTTTCTGCCTCAAAAAGTTCAGTCGTTGGCACACATTGGCCCAGCACATCACAGCCAATCGTTGCACCATACTTTTACAGCACGCTGACCCTCAAGCCCAACTCCCCGACGACGCAAAGACCGCGACAACCTCCCCAGGCGAAGCAGAGGGCAAGCATACTATTTCGTTTTCACCGCCACCGCGTACAGCTCTCATCTGCGAGGAAGACAAGGTTCTTGCAGCAGCCTCCAAGGGTTTGAACTCATTCATACAGCTGAAGGACGTCACTCCGAGGCTCCAGCAAACATGTGCGTTGTGTGGACAATGGGTGGCTTCTCATAAAGCTATGAAGCGACACTATCAACATAGTCATGCCGACATTCTACGACAGATGGGTAGCTCCATTCTCTCTCTCATACAACGTACGGCCACAGCTTGCCCCACGTGCCACTTCTGCAATGTTCGGTGCAAGGACTGGAGAGAACACATCAAGAAGTGCACCGTGATTTGGCAGTGTGCTATCCTTTGCCTACAGGAGCGGCAACGACGAGATGGAAGAGTTCTGGGGGAGCCTGCAGACGCCCAGCAGTCTTCTACAATCCAACAAACGGCGCAGGCCTCCTACCAATGGGTTTCGGCAGGACAACCCGTACCAGCCTCAGCAGTTCCAGGCTCAGCCGGACTTGCTCGTTACTTTGGCAAGGCAGGTAGTACGACAAGACGAGGAGATCAAGCTGCTGAAGCAGGACCACTCCCTAATCCTCTTCCTTCGACCGGGCGAGCACAGCATCCTAGGCCACCTCTTCAAGACGGCCAAGGAGTTCAAGGCAAAGCAAGCAGCCAACCCTCAGTGGACCCCAGGATTTATCCCCCTCAAGACCATCATGGCAATTGCATTGTTCAAGGAACTGGGCAATCGCCTGGACACAGTCTGTCAGGACTCAACCAAGTTGGCCACTGTCAAAGAAATGGGCTGGAGGGACCCAGCTGCAGGCTGGAAATTCCAACGGTGGAATCCGCAGCTCAAAGCACTCGAGGAGGACACCGCCAAGACCCCTTTGTCGGACAAGGCGGTTGCAGAGCATCTACAGAAACTGTGCGTAGTCCTAGGCCAGGATACAGTGCACAGGTTCAACTGCACCAGGAAAATGGCAGACGTCATGGAGACCTCTGCCACCTTCCAGCTCGATCTGTCGACCCGCACTCCGGCATCGATAGAAGCCTGGAACTCCCTCCTGATCTTGCAGGGATGCACGGTCTTACAGCTGGGAGGGGTCGCATACAAGAGAGAAACCTTGAAGCCGAGCCCGGTGATCGCCAAGTTCAAGGATACGCTGCGCGGACGTTGAGGCTGGTGCTCCACAATGCTCCTTCCCAAAATGCCTGCTACATGAATGTCAGTGTACAGGCCTTCGCGTGGATGCTGGCAATGGATGCAACTAGACTGGAGCGAATGGGGCCAGGACGCCCTTTCTTTCAGGCACTCTTGCAACATGACACCGGCCGACCCAAAGTGCTCCTGCAGGATATGCTATGGCGTATGCTGATTTCGGGGTGGGCCGAATGCCACAGGCAACATGACGTGGTCGAGTTCGTTACACATTTGGCGCATATACACAACTTTGACATGCTGCAGGGGACATGGCAAGCTCGGCAATTTTTGGAAGGGGAGACATGGATCCGCGACGGGGGGTCCTGCACTCAGCCTCTAATACTTCCCATTCCACCACTACCGCCGGGACTGGCGCCGGATCTCCAGGTGCAGTCGCTGATCGACTATTGGTCGGGGGGACAGGCCTCTCTCCACGCACTACTGGAATGCCCTAGCATACTCATGTTGCAGGTTGAGAGATTTGATCGCAGAGACGGCCGCATAGTCAAACGACAGGACGCTGTTGTGCCGGAACGCGAGCTGGCGGTGCCCTTCTTCAACGGAGCAGGTCTGCAGGTAGGTATTCAGTTTTATCGACTCATTGCCACCGTCACACACCATGGAGATCATCCTAGAGCTGGGCACTACACGGCATGTCTGTTACTTGCAGGAAAGATCTGGAGCTGTGACGACAATCGTGTGGCCCAACCATCTCAGGGCTTCCCGAGTTCGCATGCAAACGGCTGCTACCTGCTCGTCTACGAGCGCCAGTGAAACCTGAGAGATGTGAACCGATGAAACTCTCCATATCTTCTTTTTACTGCGGTTGACACCATGTAGCATCATGCACAGGCCCCTCGGGGCGGTGATGCTCGACACTTCTCATAGTGAAGAGACAGCTGAAAGCTGTGCGCCTTTAAGGTGCCGGGGTTCACCCTGCTCTGCTTACTCCGCCGCTAGGCTGCCGACGCTCGGACGCTGCGCACAAAGCTGGACAAAGCTGCTACTAGTACTATGCCTACTGCTACTGCTACTGCTACTGCTACTGCTACTGCTACTGCTACTGCTACTGCTACTGCTACACCTCTGCTACTACTACTACTACTACTACTACTACTACTGCTACTACCACTACTACCACCACCACCACTATCCCCACCACCACCACCACCACTACAACAATACTACTACCACTACTACTAATACTACTACTACTACTACTATTACTACTACTTATTACTACTACTACTACTACTACTACTACTACGACTACTACTACTACTACTACTACTACTACGTACTACTACTACTACTACTAGTACTAGTACTACTGAGTGCCTCTTGCTGCGTCCGGAAGAAGTAGTAGTAGTAGTAGTACTACTACTACTACTACTACTACTACTACTAGTACTAGTACTACTGTTACTCGGCACCTTCGACTTGCCAAGTTTCGAAAATTCAGCTTCCTGCAGTGACTTGCTAACGCTCCTTAAAACATAAGGCGGGTCCGTTCCAAAAATTAGAGGTAACACGAAAACAAAAGTTGCCAGAAGAGGCATGACTTGCGTACTGCTCGTGGCAGATTTTGCCGACACTGTACAAGCCTAGTTCGTGCGAGTTTTAACATATTTAGTTTAAGCCTCAATCTTTCGCAGAAACTGCTAGGTCGCAGCAGCCGCCCCCAGGGCCGCGGGGGGATGTGAAAGGCCTGGAATCTTAAATGTTACGCTGGATGGTGGGACCGTCTTTCGAATTCACTTTGGGGTTGTTGTTCATTGCTCTATCAAGGTTTGGGCTTCAAACTTGGAAGGGTACCTGGCTTCACGGCGCGAGGCTCCACCAGGGGCTTGAGGTTACTAAGAATTGCGGTGTCTGGTTGAGGTCTGTGGTAAACCGAGGTTGGGTGGCGAGCCGAGCATTTCCACACAAAGCTGCATCATCTGAAGATGTAAAACCCCGATGCCTTTCTTGACGGCCTGGGCTTGGACTGACTGCCCGAGACTTACTGTACTTGAGCAGGAGAAGTCCTGACCCTGCCCGTCAAAGGCCTGCATGGAACTTCAAACCCTGGACAAGGGTCCAACTTGTAAGCTCCAGAAGTCACTTGGAGAGGGTATCAGCGTTGGCAGTAGCTCGCCTCCCATACCACAAGGACTGGCCCCAAGCATCCTGTCGATCTACTGTTGTCAGGCATAGACGTCCTGTGCCATCCGGAGGCTGGTCGGACCTTCGACCCACTTCACTCGAGCATCCCAGTACTACATACTTGAAACCTCAAGCCATAAGATGCCACAAGCTCGTCATGGAAGTGAAATCCCGCATCTTCTTCGAAGCCTTTTCGTTCTGAGGTTTGGGGATTTCGGTTTCCAGCTTGGGAGTCGGCAGCAGAAACCCCGAATTCTGCTGGGAAGTTCTCGTCTCGAGGCCTCCCTCCTGCAAAAGCACCCGCTCCTGAGCTAAAAGCCTTCCAGCCACTGCGTACTTCACCTCTGAAAGATTGGGGGATTAAGGTGAACACGGAATGACCCGACACCCGCTGCCAAGCTTACCACAAGCATTTTCATAGCAAGAAGATTATTGGATTTAGCCGAAAGGCAACATTCAAACCTGTCACTCATCCTATTGGATTGGGAGTCATCTTTCGACAAAGTCAACCAAGCAAAACTCTTACAGGTTCTACGCAGGCTAAAAGTACCCCCGAATATGTATCGGTTGATTACCTGACATGTACCAAGATCCACAGTTCAGGATCAAAATGGACATCCAATGTTCAGAATATAAATCGCAGGAGTCTGGGATTCGTCAAGGTTGCCCCCTCTCACCATTTTTATTTACGTTACTAATGTCTGCAATGTTCAAGGATATTAAAACCAAGTTAAACACTCCAAAGCAAAGAGAACCGTTACCTGGAATAGAATTCGCAGAAATATTATACACAGACGACACACAGTTTTTGGAACCCATACCCGGACACATGTTCCACGCAAACATGAAGCCACGAATTTAGGTTCATTATTGACAGACACGGTAGATAATCACCGAGAGGTTTGTAACATGTTTTATACTAAAACTTTTCTGGAACAAGGCTCAAAACACAGTGCAGTGGAAGCCAACGGTGTTGGATTCAGTTTTAGTGTTATATAGGCTTGAATGCATACAGCTCACGCAGTCTGATCTAGATAAACTTAACCACGTCAGATGAAAGGATTTCGTCGCATCCTAAAGATCCCTCCCACTTTTATCGATCGTAGTTACACGATTCAGAAACATTGAAAAGTTTTCCCTCACATGGATGACAAGGAAGGTGACTACTGGGACATGTACTGAGAACTGATTCGAAAGACCCCATGGAGCAAGTCTTGTTGGATCCATATACAAAAAGACCTAGACTTGAATCTAGACGTCCTTGAGCATCATGGCTACTGGAGACATTTAAAGGTGCATTCGCTTTGCTAGGACGATCCGAGAGCTATGATGATACTAACAATGAGCATCGGGAGTACGTAATACAACAAGCGCAAGCAAGACGAAACAATGAAACATAAGTAATTAGCAAGATTCAAGCACTGGAAAACCTTCAACAATAGTTCGTCGACAGTTTTTATAGAACTTTAGATACATCACCGAATTCTCCTCACCGAATGCTCTTCACCGAATGCACGGAGCAGCACCGCGACCTTCAGGCAAGCTGCCCAGCTGCACCTATCAGTTTCTCGTACATACATAAGTCGTATTGCAGGCACACAATACGCGCTTCATGATATTCCCCTCATACGTATTTTTACGTCACAGGCACACTAACTGTTTCAAGTGTAGACTATACTGCGTAGGTTTCACTTTTTCGCTGGTAAGATACGCGATCCTATGTCGTAATTCCATATCATTGGCTAGGCTTCTGTGCTCAGCAATTTCCATTACATTCTGTTAGTACTTTAAATGTCGAGAAGATTCCCCCTGAAAGACTCGTCTGGTGGTTGTTCATTCTTCAATGTCGACTTACCATTATGAGAGATCCTTAGTCACGATTGATGTGGCTTGGCGTTGGATATTGAAGAATTATTCGACCAATATCTCATGAGTATTTATATATAGGTATTTGGTGTTAAGGATATATTGAAAAGATAGTTGACCACAAGAAAAAGGTAAGATCAATAGTTGTTAAGCCCCAAGCATGTTTTTTCTTCAAAACTTATCAAATTACCATTAGAAGAGATGCGCCAAAATTAATTTTGCTTGGAATTTGATATTCATGAATTATTCGACCAATATCTCATAAATGTATACTTACATTGTTGTTGGTATACGGAAATACTGAAAAGATAGCTAACGACAAGAAAGGGGTAATATCAGCAATTGTTAGATACCGATCATTTTGTTCATTTTTCAATATCGAATTACCATTATAAGGGGTAGTTTTTACTTGTTAATATCGCTTGGAGTTTGATGTTTATGAATTAATAATATCGCTTAGCATTTGAGCAATATCTCATGACTTTACACATACCTACCGCGTTCTTCATACTCAAACAATACTTAGAAGATAGCTCATAAGTAAGGGACAGTATTCACAATTGAAAGATTCCGAGCATGTCAGTACTGTTTGATGATGCTTAAATGCTTAAATGATACCTCGCCAGTATGCGGCTATTGCGTAGTTCAGGTTAGATAGTATTTCAGTGATACTAAACCGAATATTTGCGTCCTGTCTCTTAGGTGTTTCATTTATGTAAAGCTGTGTTCGCTTGTATTATATTTTTCATGTAGTTGACATGTTATGACGTAGTCTTTAGCGAATACTGTATTCGCAGTCTATTGTTCTTGCTTTCGTGAACTTCACGTTGTCAATATCTAGAAGATTGAATTGGAAAACTATTTTTAGCCTCTATAAATTCTCGGTACATGTGCTATGTTGTTGCTTGAGCAAAAAATTAAAGATTAGTTCAGCTCATGAAACTACTCAACGTATGTTCTTTAAATACATGGCTGGTTCTAACAGGTACAAAAGCTGAACAATACACAAATCCATTGCAAATAATGCTTGCATCCTAGATAGTGGCTTGTCATCGGATGGAAAGTGGGCATTTTACCATATTTCAGAAATATAACCGGCACTGTCGTTCCCATTTCCTGTCATTCCTGGCCCGAATATGTTTATACATAACGTTGGATACATTTTTTTTTTGTATGCTCTCTCGAACTTTGTGCGACACCGGAAACCCTCACACAGGCCCACTGAGCACAAGAAGCTGTGCCTGAAACATGTACTCGGAGTCGAGATAGCTGGTTTTTACTGATGCAAAATCTGAATAACAAACAAGTCTGTTGGTAATAACAAAATCCACATGAAGACCGATGGCTGTTTAACACATAGCATAAACACATACCATCACATCACTGATATCTAACCAGAATAAGTTCTGCTGGAATATCAAAATAGGAGGGGGTCAGGTTGTCTGCTACAGTGTCTTCTTCACGTGTTAAAATCAAAGTGCGGATCAGGGTTCATTTCCCCACCTCCAAGCTCAAGTTCGTGTCGTTGGTGTGAGTCTGTCCACGCTCCGTGTATGAAATTTGTAGCAAATATAAAATACGGATCAAGGGTCGTATCACAACCTCTCGGCTGAAGTTCATGTCCTTCGTGTGAGCTTGTGAGTAGCGCCCACATTTCCTGTATGAAACTTATGTTGAAAACCCCCAAGAATGAAACATAGATTTATACAAACAGTGCAAGTAGCTGAGACATTGGCAAATCCAATCATCTAAAGACTTTTGCAGAATCTTTGGATCTGCAGTTGTTGTTTGATTGTTGGATTTCCATTATCATTTTTGGTTTTTTTGGTTGGATCAAAGAAATTCCCTGGGAAATGTTTGGATTTTGCTGCTGTCGCTGGTCAAAATCATTATATTTTCCAGGTTTTTTGTTGTGGATTTTGTTATGACATCCTGATGATTTCGACAGGACACCAACAAGATTCAAATTTTTCCTGGGGAATAATTGGATTCCGGTACAAAATCAAAAAAAACCCTAGAGAATGCAATGATTCTGAGCAGCGGCACCAGCAAAATCACACATGTCCGAGGGTTTGTTGGATTCTGCCAAAAACATTCAAAAACAATAGTGGAAGACCACAAAATCAAAAAATGCGAATCCAAAGATTCTTTAACAGTTTTTGGATTTTGGGATTTCTGGATTTTTGTAACAGTTGATAATTTGTTATGCTAGTCCGTCATGAGATGCAAACATAAACACAACTCGGTCGAATCTCGTGGCACAATCTTGGGTATACACAGTTCGTTTATTGCGTTGCGCCTCGTTTGAAGCTTGCCTCGCT